ATGCCTTCATCAAAAAGTCTGAATGAGTACAAATAGACAATCAAAGGTCACACCTTAAGGAACTAGAGAAACAAGACAAACCAAATCCAAACCCAGCAGAAGAAAAGAAATAACAAAGACCAGAGCAGAACTAAATGAAATTGAAACCAACCAACAAACAAAAATACAAAACATAAATGAAACAAAAAACTGGTTATTTGAAAAGATAAACCAAAATTGATAGATCATTAGTGAGATTAACCAAGAAAAGAAGAGAGAAGGGCCAAATAAACTCAATTAGAATGAAACAGGAGATATTACAACCGATACCACAGAAATACAAAAGATTGTTCAAGGCTACTATGAACACCTTTACATGTACAAACTAGAAAACCTAGAGGAGATGGATAAATTCCTGGAAATACAAAGCCCTCCTAGATTAAACTAGGAAGAGATAGAAACTCTGAAACAGACCAATAACAAGCAGCGAGATTACATTGGTAATAAAAACATTGCACATACACACATAAAAAGTCCAGGCCCAAATGGGTTCACAGCTAACTTCTATCAAACATTCAAAGAAGAATTGGTACTAATCTTATTGAAAGTATCCCAAAAGATAGAGGGAATCCTCCCTATATCATTCTATGAAGCCAGTATCACTCTAATATCGAAACCAGGAAAGGACATAACAAAAAAAGAAAACTACAGACCAACATCCCTGATGAACATAGAGGCAAAAATCTTCAAAAAAATACTATCCAACTGAATCCAACAGCATATTAAAAAGATAATCCACCATGATCAAGTGGCTTTTGTACCAGGGATGCAGGGATGGTTTAACATCTGCAAGTCAATAAATGTGATACACCACATAAACAGAATTAAAATCAAAAATCACATGATCATCTCAATAAATGCAGAAAAAGCATTTAACAAAATTCAGCATTGCTTTATGCTTAAAACCCTCAGAAAATTGGCATAGAAGGGACATACCTTAAGGTAATAAAAGTCATCTATGACAAACCCACAGCCAACATTATACTAAGCAAGGAAAAGTTGAAAGCATCCCCCCTGAGAACTGGAACAAGACAAAGATGCCCACTTTCACCTCTTCCATTCAACATAGCACTGGAAGTCCCAGTCAGAGCAATCAGACAAGAGAAAGAAATAAGGGAATGCAAATCTGTAACGAAGAAGTCAAACTGTCACTGTTCACTGATGATATGCTTATATACCTAGAAAAACCTAAAGACTCATCCAAAAAGCTCCTACATCTGATAAATGAATTCGGTAAAGTTTCAGGGTACAAAATCAATGTACACAAATCAGTAGCACTGCTATACACCAACAGTGAACAAGCTGAGAATCAAATCAAGAATTCAAACCTTTTTAAAATAGCTGCCAAAAAAAATGCTTAGGAAGATGCCTAACCAAGAAGGTGAAAGACCTCTACAAGGAAAGTTACAAAACACTGTTGAAAGAAATCATAGATGACACAAACCAATGGAAACACATCCCATGTGCATGGATGTGTAGAATCAATATTGTGAAAAATGAGCATACTGCCAAAACCAATCTACAAATTCAGTGAAATTCCCATCAAAATACCATCATCATTCTTCACAGAACTGGACAAAAAATTTCTAAAATTAATATGGAACCAAAAAAGAGCCTACACAGCCAGAGCAAGACTAAGCAAAAAGAACAAATCTGGAGGCATCACATTACCTGACTTCAAACTATATTATAAGACTATAGTCACCAAAACAGCATGGTACTGGTATAAAAATAGGCACATAGACCAGTGGAACAGAATAGAGAACCCAGAAATAAAGTCAAATACTTATAGCCAACTGACCTTCAACACAGCAAACAAAAACATAAAGTGGGGAAAGGACACCATACTCAACAAATGGTGCTGGGATAGTTGGTAAGCTACATGTAGAAGAATGAAACTGGATCCTCATCTCTCACCTTATACAAAAATTAATTCAAGATGGATCAAAGACTTAAATCTAAGACCTGAAACCATAAAAATTCTAGAAGATTACATCAGAAAAACCCTTCTAGGCATTGGCTTAGGCAAAGACTTCATGACCAATAACCCAAAAGCAAATGCAACAAAAACAAAGATAAATAAATGGGACTTAATTAAACTAAAAAGCTTCTGCACAGCAAAAGAAATAATCAGCAGAGTAAACAGACAACCTACAGAGTGGGAGAAAATCTTTGCAAACCATGCATCCAACGAAGGGCTAATATCCAGATTTTACAAGGAACTCAAACAAATCAGCAAGGAAAAAAAAAAAAAAATTCCGTCAAAAAGTGGGTTAAGGACATGAATAGACAATTCTCAAAAGAAGATACACTATGGTTAACAACAAACATATTTAAAAATGCTCAACATCACTGATTATCGGGGAAATGCAAATCAAACCACAACATGATACTACCTGACTCCAGCAAGAATGGCCATAATTTAAAAATCAAAAGATAGTAGATGTTGGCATGGATGTGGTATAAAGGGAACACTTTACACTGCTTGTGGGAATGTAAACTAGTACAACCACTATTGAAAACAGTAGGGAGGTTCCTTAAGAACTAAAGTAGATCTCCCATTTGGTAGCAATCCCACTCCTGACTATATACCCAGAGGAAAAGAAGTCATTATGTGAAAAAGACTTGTTTATATGCGTACGTTTATAGCAGCACAATTCGCTTGTGAAAACATGGAACCAGCCCAAATGCCCATCAATCAACAAGTGGATAAAGAACATGTGGTGCATATATATACACATACATACACACACATACATACATACACATATACACACATATATATACACACACACACATACACATATATGCTATGAAATAATAGCCAAAAAATGGTCTAAAATAATGGCATTTGCAGCAACCTGGATAGAATTGGAGGCCATTATTGTAAGTGAAGTAATTCAGGAATGGAAAACCAAACATTGTATGTTTTCACTTATAAGTAGGGACTAAAGTATGAGGAGGCAAAGGCCTAAGAATGATACAAAGGACTTTGGGGACTTGGGGGGAAGGATGGGAGGGGGTGAGGGATAGAAAATTACACATTGGATACAGTGTACACTGCTCTGGTGATGGGTGCACCAAACTCTCAGAAATCACCACTAAAGAACATGTCCATGTAACCAGACACCACCTGTTCCCCAAAAACCTATTGAAATATAAAAAAATGAGTTGATTAGCAGAACAATTATTTTGTAATAACCATCCACAAATTGTTGTCCAATTTCAGGAGAATGCTGTGCCCAGTGTCAACCAGGCCATGGAGAAGGAAATAACCTTGCCAGGAGAAAGGAGTAGCCTGTGAATCTACTCAGGATATGGCCAGACCTGCCCATGCAGCCTCTAGTGAACAAAGCTCACCCTTAATCCACTCCCACTCCCCAGTCATGCATATTTGAAAATGCATTTTTGGTCACAGGAGTACTTGGTGCTGGAATAGGAATGAGCCGGCACAACTGCTATCAGAAAACTCTCAGATACTATGGATGATGATGCCACATCATGCTGTCCTTGAGGTGGCATAGGCAGTTCTGGCCATGTCCTGGGTGGAGTCCCAGGCTACTTCTTTCTCCTGGCAAGAGCATTGGCCTTGCTGACGCTGAGCACACCATTCTCCCTAGGGTGGACTCATGTTGTGGATGCACGAGAGAATTGTTCTGCTAATCAATTCAACTTAATTCAATCTCAACTTGTCTCAGCTCAAGTCAGCTTTGTTCAGCTCATCTAGATTCTGCTCAACTCAACTTTACTCAGCGTAATTCATCCATGCATCTAGGCTTCCAATAAGCATTTCTTACCTGTCAAAGTCTGCATTGAGTCTGGGAATCCAGCTGGGTTTGCTTCCACTAACCAACCCACCTCCCTGTTCTAATCTAAATGGTATCTGTGTATTGTGTAGAGAACACTGGACCTACAGCAGGACTGCCCTATGTTCTCAACTTAGCCCTGCCATTTACTTACTGCCTTGGACAATTTTCTTAATCTTTCTGAGCCACAGTTTTCTCATCGGTAACGCAGGAATAAAAATAATACCTCATTTGTGGAGGGTTTGTCAGAATTAAATTCATAGAACGCACTCACAAATGGTATCCATTAAATCCTCCCTCTCTAGACCTAAAGGAAAGACTAAGCAGACAAAAGAAAATGACCCAAAGCTCATCTGAACATCTCGAAAACAGGAAAACTCACTAGAAAGGCATTTACTAGTGAACTACGGTGTGGTCCCATCCCCACCACCATAGTGCAGTCCCAAGTCTTGTCTCTGCTCTAGACTTTCCACGTTCCTAAAGGTCTCTTTTTGACAACTGCACTGAATTATTTTTGGGAAATTGCTTTGACATTTACCCAAGTTACTTTCTTTGCATCCCTGGGCTCAGCCTGACTCTTGATTTCATGTGCTCAGAATCAGTACCTGTGCATTTGAGTTCATCTTTGGCATTTCACTTGGTGGTATGCCAGTCCTTCATCATTAGCCCATTCCCTTACAAACTTGGAGAAGGAATGGAGAACACAGGGAACAGAAAGAGTGGTGGCAACCTATTCAGTCCAGCAGTCCAGCAGAAGACTGGCAAAGGCACAATTAAGGACATCCTATGGATTGATAGCAGAGGAAAAAGAGACTAAATTTTTAAATGAGCAGCAGGACATCCAAGAAAGTGAAACCACATCAGGGTGGGTTCCCCCAAGCACAGACATACACTCTTGCCTTCCCAACATAGACCACCATGTCATTAAGCATCACACAGCATCAGTGCCAACTGTGATCTGAAAACAAGTGGGCATCTGAGTCACAGGATGCCCAGTGTTCTGTATTCTTGGGTCCTTAAACTTAGGAAGGCTTTGCCTTGATCATTCGTTGTTTCCTACTTGTTGCTAAAATCAGAACCAGGTTTCTCATCTAAAAGAATGCCTTTAATTCAGATGCTGCAGGCTTATCTCACATGAATATCCTCTTCCCTTAGGTGTTCGATGGTCTCAGATGCAGAAACTGAAAGCATTTTCATGGAACCCATTCACCTCTCCTCAGCCATTGCAGCCAAACAGATCATCAATGAAGGTAATGCAATCAAAAGCTGGGTGGAAGCAAAGTCCAGTGGTCATCTGGAGACCCTTAGAGGGGGGCCATTGGAAGATGTCAATGTGCCTCTCAGGTGCTGCCCATTACGTTAGGAAGAGCAGATCTGCAGAAGGTAGTTCTGCCAACTCCACCTCCTCAACTTTGATAGGAAGGAAGTGGAAATAATTATGCATCAGCATGAACAGGGACAACCAGAGAGTCAGCACCAATCTGTTCCTAGGGCCTCCTGCTCAATTTTTGGTTACGTCAGGGGTCCTGAGGTGGCTTATGGCAGAGGCACAGACCTAAGAGCCCAAGAAACGGCCAGAAGCATCCAGAGGGTTCTCTTCCAAGGGAGCCCAGACTTAGACCTGCACTTCCACCAGTGCTTAAAGATGCTTCAAACTGAAGGGTGCATGGGAAGGAGGGAAAAGCTTGGGTGGGGAGCACCCAATATTAAATATGTTAATATTTACACAGTAAAATTTTGAAGCAGACAACATATTATTGTATTTCATTCAAAGATACTTATCTAGATTAGATGGATTTTTTTTCTAATCAATTTCAGGTAAATAATCTTTTGCAATTTCTTTCTTCCCCTTTCTTCTCCCTTCTCCCTGGGTAGCCTCACAACTCTGGTGAGATGGGGTGGAGTGGGATAAGGTGCACACTGATGAAGCAAGGCCCAGCTGGCCTTTGGACTTAATCTTGCAACCACCGCTGGTGGCCACAATCCTTTCCTTGGTCTTTCATTATGAGAATCACATGCTACTCTTTGTCCATTCTTACTCCGGTCCCTTCTTTGTCCCCTGACCCATTTGGGTCTCCACCAGGATCTCTAGAGGACATCTGGACCTCTTGCACACTTCACATAGAACCAGAAATTTGACTTGCTGTTGCTGACTGTTCTGGGCATTCTAGGAGGCCCCATCTTCTCAAAGACTCATCTGCTTCGGGGGATTTTTTTTTTTTTCTTTTTCTTCCATACCTAGGGTCTCTGTTATCTTGCTCCAAGATATCTTGCCCCCAAACCCAGGCAGTGTCTTCACCCTGGTCCAGTTCTCTCTGAATTGCTCCTAGTGCCACCGTAGCTCTGGAAAGTCTTTTCTTCCTCTTTTGTGGTTGGAAGTTTCCCTAACCTTCCATTCTGCATCATCTCTGCTTTGTGCTTCATTCTATGGATCATTTTCCAGGCTTTGGTTCTTGATAAGTAAAAGTCCAGCTTTAGGAATTGTGGGGAGAAAAAAAATAAAAAACTTTTTCTCTCTTTGAAAGCTTCACTTTCAAGTCTATAGAATGCTATGGACATTCAGTCTAGTTTGAAACCAAAAGATGTGCAATGCCTTTTTTTATCCTGGCTCTTTATTCTTCCCTTCTCTGGGGGCATCAAATCTAAGTTTCATTAGCCTTAGTGGCTGAAGGGCTGTAGGGGGAGAAAAAACAATATATTAGAGAGAAAGGAAAATGTATCAGGTGATATTTCAAAACACCGCCATGCTCACTAGTGATCACAGGGGTAAAAATGTGTGTTGAAAACCTTCCGCTTTCATGAAAGTCTGCATATGCCACACATCCGAGAGTGTAGGGGAGAAATGTGTGGGCTTTACTCTCTGCTGAAGAAATGTCAGGTAATAGAAAGAAATTGATGCAGGGAGGGAGGCAAACTCTACAGAGGCTGAAGTGTGAGCCAGAGACCTAGGGAAAGCAGGAGTTGCCATCAGGGGTGAAGGGCTGGGACATTTGTTTTTAAATTGAAAAGAAAAGAAATGGAAACAACACCTGCTAGATAAATAGCCGAGGAAGACAATACTGTGTATTTTAATGAGGTGTCAGGAGTCCCATTTTTTATATGTAGTAAGGGAAAGACATCTAAGTAGACAACGGAAGGAGAGGGGGCTGCATTTGCTATGAAAGACCCCAGGAGAGCCAGGGGAGAAAACTGCATGGTGGAGAAAATAGGAACACTTCATCTATTTTTAAACAAAATAGAGCTCTGGGATTGCAGGAGTTCTCTTCTTTCTGCGTTTGAAATGAAGATCAGAGAACGTTTAGAGCTGAGCCCTGATGTAGGGACGTGGGGGTCCCTCAGGGGGGTTAGAGGAGGGAAGAGAGGAGGGAAATGAAATCCTGAGCCCCAGGCAGAACCCAAGGCTCCCAGGATTTGCAGTCCATGAGCAGCAAGCCCTGCTTACAGACTCCTGGGAGGAGCAGATTCCATGAGGGGCTGGGCCAAGTCTACCTTCCAAATGTGGCTGGACTCTCTCTGCAGCCCCCACCCAGAGACTGCCCATCAGGGAAAGAGACGGTGCCAGCAAGAGGCTATGGGGAACACAGAGGACACATCTTTCCAGCTTCTTTTTTCTCTCTCTCTCTCTGTTCAGTATTTTTGGCTACCACATGAGAGGAACGATTTTGTTTTTCTTATTTTTGTCTAACTTAAAGAAAGAAAACATCTTACATTTCCCCAAATTTGATAAACTGTGAGCAAATATATTATTAGAAGAAGATAAAGATTCACCCCAGATGTGAGTGAGTTGGGATTTGAGTTCATTTGGAGTTTGAACTTTTCAGACCTGTTGTCAGAAAGGCCCTGAGTCACGTTTTGAGATTAGAATGAGAGCTCATGGCCAATCTTTGCCACCTATCTGTGGGCTGGGAGGCTGAGAATCATAGGTCCTTACATTCTAGTAGGGGGAAGGAGACAATACAAGAAATAAATCAGTAAATTAGACGTATATTAGAAGGTAATATTGCATAAATCACTGCTGAAAGTTTTACTTTTCCCAGGGTTATTTGCAATCCATATGTAAAAGAGTCAAACTAACAGAGTGAATTATACTATGAATGAACGCCATTCACTCATTTGGTAAATACTCCTACCTTTTTTCTTTTCTTTTCTTTTCTTTTTTTTGAGACAGAGTCGTTCTTTTTGACCAGGCTGGAGTGCAATGGCGCACTCTCAGCTCACTGCAACCTTCACTTCCCAGGTTCAAGTGATTCTCCTGCCTCAGCCTCCCAAGTAGCTGGGATTACAGGCGCTCACCACCACGCTTGGCTAATTTTGTATTTTTTGTAGAGACAGTGTTTCACCATGTTGGCCAGGTTGGTCTTGAACTCCTGACCTCAGGCCATCCGCCCACCTCAGCCTCCCAAAGTGCTGGGGTTACAGACGTGAGCCACTGCGCCTGGCCGGTAAATACTTCTGAGCATCCACTTTGTACTGGGCACTGTGGGAATTATTAAGTACGAATCAAAGTACACCTAGTACTTAGGGAACTTGGTCTAAAAAATTATTGACCAGCTTCTGAGAAGCATGGGAGGGAGTAAAAGAAATTGGATCCCCTTTACCCACATCTATACAGTCCTCTTGCTGACCCTGATTACAAGTGTCTGGGCCAGTGCAGCAGGTACCCTGGGCCCAATTAAAATCCTTCCTGGGAGATCCTGCTAGCATTCAGTTCACGGCCAAAATCTTGGCAGCGAACTGGCCAAGGGCATGTTCCCCCCAGGAATAAGGAAGGCCATGATATTCCTAACTCTCTGATGAGAATGCTGCCTGTCTCCTCTAGAACTCAAGCCACGGGGGGTCAGAGCAGACGCAGAGTGTCCAGGCATGCTGGAGTCTGCTGAACAGCTGCTGGTGGAGGATCTGTACAACCGCGTCAGGGAGAAGATGGACGACACCAGCCTCTATAATACGCCCTGCGTCCTGGACCTACAGCGGGCTCTGGTTCAGGATCGCCAAGAGGCTCCCTGGAATGAGGTGGATGAGGTCTGGCCCAATGTCTTCGTAGCTGAGAAGTGAGTCTGACTGCTCTTCATGACCCTTTGTCCTACCCCTCTGGTTAGTGCCTGAGACAGACGAAACTCCCCCAACTTTCATCAAAGGCACCCATAGGTCCATCCAGCACAATGAGGCTGCCTAGCCACTTACCCTGCCCCAGTCCAGAGAAAGGCCCCTTCAGTCACCTGCATTCAGAGGTCTCCAGGCAAGATGCCGCCATGACTGCTTATCCTTTGTCCTCTTGCCAGGACTCCCTTGTCCCTCAAGAAGGCCTTCTCTGGGCCTCCTTTCCTGCCACACAGTCTTGCCAACTTCACCATCTCATGACATCTGTAGCTACCACAGAACCGGACACTAGGAGCCATTGATAATAATATTGACATGCATATGTAATTACCAACGTAGAAAAACGTTCACAATACAGTAAGAAAGAATTAGATTACAAGAGAAGACACGTAAGTAAGTGTGCTGCTAATTGAGCAATAGATGTGTGTGTATGTGGGTGCATGTTTTTGTATAGACAACAGTTAGAAGGAAATGTGAGAAAATGATAACAATGTTTCTCTCTGGGAGGTGTTTTTACAAGTGGTTTTTATTTTCTCTTTAGATTTCCTTTGACTTGTACAGGTTTCCTAAAGTAGACATTGTTTTTATAATCCAAAAACTATTATTTTCTAAAAGTTTATCAGGGGCTTCCAGAACAAAAACAACTCACTCACATCCTATTTCTTTAGGATGCCAGTGCATAATTGCTACCACCAGGTTAATTAGTGAAACAAATATTTTGCTGATTCATCAAATACTTAATGAGATGTTTTCCCAGTGTAATTATCTGGATATCCAGAAGCAAAGGAGGAAATTTGGCCTCAGGGGAGGGAATAGGGAAAACAGCATTGGACAGTGGGTCTCATCTTCACCAAGGAGTCATCCGTTGCCTAGAACTTGATCCTCAGCGCTGGGCACCAAGTCCTACGTGATCTTTAGATAGATCTTCAGATCCAGGAGCATTCATCTCATGGTCACTAAGAACCCAGCCATCGCCAGGTATCCTTAGCTAAAAGCTTTTGGTCCTTCTCGGACAACCTGTCCTCAGGGCCTCTTCAAACGAAGCTACACTTATACAGCTACAGCAAAAAGCGCTCTGAACTAGAAATCTAAAACACTAGTTCTTGTTGTCTTTTACTCCTTTCACACTCTTGGGAAGTTATAAGAGCTCTCAGACTGAGTTTTATAATCTTCAAATGGGAATAAAACTAGTGTCCCTGTCTACTTCTTAAATTTATTGTTAGGATAACATGAACTAATGCATGTGAAAGGATTTTGACAGTTATAAGCATGCCATATCAATGCAGAATACACTTAATTTTATTATTTGTGCCTGCCACTTTTGTGCCTTGATGAATGTCCATTCCCTAGGCATGGGGTTTTAAACTACAAGTCTCTGGATCATTCAAATGTTTCCTTTCACGTCACTTTGTTGGCCTCTTCATCTCGTCCTTCCTTGCCTAACTCCCTGTCTTTTCTCCCTTTTGCTGAGGCCAAGCCATCGACTCTTTCTATAATGGTATTTGCAGTGATCCCCAGACAACCAGGGCAGAAAAGGAGGTACTTGCCCAGCTGCGGCCCCAGACCGGCTGAGGCAGGCTCGCCATGGCAGTGGTGACACACCTTTCTAGTTCCAACTCTGGCAAACAGGTCCCTGCCTCTTCCCCCAGGAGTGTGGCTGTGAACAAGGGGAGGCTGAAGAGGCTGGGAATCACCCACATTCTGAATGCTGCGCATGGCACTGGCGTTTACACTGGCCCCGAATTCTACACTGGCCTGGAGATCCAGTACCTGGGTGTGGAGGTGGATGATTTTCCTGAGGTGGACATTTCCCAGCATTTCCGGAAGGCGGCTGAGTTCCTCGATGAGGCGCTGCTCACTTACAGAGGTGAGAGGGGTCTACCTGCTCCAGGCTGCCGGAATTCCACAGGGGGAAGAGCAACGTGGGGAATGTTAAGAAAACCTGATTAGTTGGCGTGTCTGGAGGGTATCTGTCTTAAGAACACCGTTTTCTCTAAGAAAAGGAGAAAAGACAGGATAGTCATTCATCCAGTAAATAATTACTGAGTGCCTAGCATGTACCAAGTACCATTCTAGGCACTGTGGTGAAAGATACAGGCAACGCTTCCAGCCTTTGACTCTTACACTGTAAAAGGGGACAGAAAATGAAAAAAAGAGAGAAAAATGTCAGATGGTGATAAGCGTCAGGCAGAGACTAGCTAGGACAATGTGCTAGAGCGACCGACTAGCTCCTTGGAGAGCATGGTGGAGGAGGCCTTCTGACAATGGGACATTTAAGCCAAGTGACAAAGAGCTAGCCATGGGAAAACTGGAAGAAGAGCATTCCTGCGGAAGAGAACTAGTAGTGCAAAGATCCAAAGGTGGAAAGCTTGGTGTGTTCAGGAATCAAAGGCCAGTGTGGGTGAGCATGGTGGATGAAGATTGGAGTGGCAGGGCCTCCCCACCCCATCAAACAGGAAGCTAAAAGCCAGGGTAAGAAATTGGAGCAGCACCTTGATCTGATTTATGTTTTAGAAAACTCCCTCCCTCCACCTTGAAGAACAGACCGAGTTGGAAAAATAGAGAGTAGTGCTTTATATGCTTTCATAGAGAGGGGCTGCTATTGCTATATCCAAGTGAAAGGCGACATGAGACTAGTCTACAGAGGTCACAGACCTCAGGGAGGAGGGGTAGAGCTCATGCAATGGGGCCGACAGCCTGACTGGGAAGAGTTCAGAATTTGGTGTCCAGAAACCTGGGTTTGAGTCCAGGATTTGCTACACTGTATATACAATGTGACCTTGGGCCATTTCCTTTAGCCCTGGGAACTGCAGTTTCCTTATACAGAGAACAAAGACAAAAATATCAAATCCTAAAGTTGCTATGAGGAATAACGTTTTAAAAATGCATATAAAGTAACTCCCTTGGGACAACACTTGGCACAATAAATGCTTTAAAAATTATAGCCATTGCTATAATAATATTGTTAATAATTTCCTGGAAAGGGCATTTCCTGTCACCACCAATGGCCAGGTTAGGTAACTTCTAATGGAAATTACAAGCACACATATTTCCTTTTTTTATTATTTTTACTTTTTATTTTTAGAGACAGGATGCAGCTCTGTTGCCCAGGCTGCTGGAGTGCTCACTATAGCCCTGACCTCCTGGGCTCAAGCCATCCTCCCACCTCGGCCTCCCAAAGTGCTGAGATTACAGGCGTGAGCCACCATGCCTGGCCAGATACACATATTTGATATATGTGTGTGTATGTGTGTGTGTAAATTTTATATATATAGAGAGAGGTGTGTATGTATACACATATACATATATACACACATATATACATACACACACATATAAACAGTTTTCAGTTTTCTCCTCTTTTCAATGCTTAAAAACTCCTTTTTTTTTTTTTTTTGAGGCGGAGTCTCACTCTTGTCACCCGGTCTGGAGTGCAATGGTGCCATCTACGGATCACTGCAACCTCCGTCTTCTGGGTTCAAGCGAGTCTTCTGCCTTAGCATCCCGAGTAGCTGGGATTACAGACGCCTGCTACCACGCCCAGCTAATTTTTGTATTTGTAGTAGAGACGGGATTTCGACATGTAGGCCAGAGTGGTCTCGAACTCCCAACCTCAGGTGATCCGCCCGCCTCGGCCTCCAAAAGTGCTGGGATTACAATAAGCCACCGCGCCCGGCCGAAAAAACTCCATCTTTTTAAAATGTAGGACGTTTGACCAATGTGGGATTGAAAGGGTCTGTCGGTCGTCTGCGGCCTGGAGAGTGTGTCCCACCTCGCTCGGTGGCCCTGGCGCGCACCGGCCGACCTCGAGGCGGAGCTCCAGCATGTGGACACGGCCACGAGCCGGCGGTCCCCAGCAGCATCCCAGGGCGGATAAGACCGATCCCAGAATGTGGAACGCATCGCAGAAGCTATAGCCAGCGTTGGGGATGGAGGGAAGAAGAACGCGCCCAAACGCGGAGGCGGAGTCGGTGCCAGGAGCCGTGCGGGCTCAGCAGGAAGTTTCCTGTCGCGGGTGCAACCCAGGCGCGGCCTTCCCTGCAGCATACCCAAGGCGGGCTGGGTCATGCTGGCCAGGAGCCAGCGTGTCAGCTACACCCCGCCCGAGAGCGTAGGTCTGAGAGCAGGGTGTCCAGATCCCTTGCAGGGGCCAGTGTGCCCTGCGGGCATCTCCTCCCTATTCAGCCTCACTCTCCCGGCCAGGCAGCGAAAGGCCCTTATTGTTGCTGTGCTTGTTGCTTTTGTGGGTCGTTCCTACTCCACCGCAGAGAGGTGGTGGCATCCCTATAATTACTCCCTGAGCCTTAGGTCCTGTGGTTTCCTCTACTCTAGGATGCTTGGGAGTCAGTTCTCCAGAACAGCGAAAGAAACACCTGGCGCCGGCGTTTTACGTGATAATCACAGAGCCTATAAGGGGGTGTTGTTATTTACATTGTACACACTGGGAAGTTGAGATCCATGGAAGATTAAGTGGTGACTTTGTATGGTGCACGGTGTAATAATCAAGATTCTCTTTGTTGCTAGTGTGTGGAAACCATCTCAAACTCCTTTACAAGCAGCAAAGGCATTAATTCTGAAGATGCAGGAAAGAAGCCAAAGACAGGAGCCTGGCAGGCGGGGCAGGCCTGGAACAAGGACTGGACAATCTCAGGACTCTTGGCTTCTCTCTTCTTTCTCTCTACTTCAGATAGCAAATGGCCATCCACAGGCCTGACATCAAACTAGCTAATTTCCTGCCTCAGTCCCATTTCCAAATTTCCTGGAGAATTTGTCAGATACTGGTCCTTTTGTGTACCCTGAGTTCCATCAACAGTGGCAAGTGGGGTGGCTTCTGGGCAAATACAGGTGTGGAGAGGGGTATGTTCTGAGGAAAGAGGGAATTTTGAATTGGGAGAGTATAGTACAATTGCCTGCCATATAAAGGCATACTGAGAGTGTAGAGAATTCAAATCCAGTCTTGCTGAAGTCTGATGCTCTTCCCCAGTAGCTGTACTCTTCAAAAAAAAAAAAAAAAAAAATTTTTTTTGAAGGTCCTTTTTTTGAGTCTCACTCTGTCACCCAGGATGGAGTGCAGTAATGTGATCTTGGCTCACTACCTCCGCCTCCCAGACTCAAGGGTTCTCATGCCTCAGCCTCCTGATCAGCGGCAATTGCAGGCACGTGCCACTACTGCTCAGCTAATTTTTGTATTTTTAGTATTGACAAGGGAACCATGTTGGCCATGCCAGTCTCAAACTCCTGACTTCAAGTGATCCACCACCTCGGCCTTCCATGGTGCTGGGATTACAGGTGTGAGCCACCATGCCCGGCTTGTACTTTTCAAATTTTAAAAACAGGGACTCTTCACAATCAGCCCTGCTGGTAATCAAAATGGTAACTCTGCAAATTAGAAAAACACTACCTTCCTCAAACCATTTTACTGTTGGAAAATTTTCACCATAACCCAAGTATATTTTGATATTTTCATTTCGATGTGAAGAGTCCCCCTAGAGTTGTGCAGAGAAGAATCTATATAGCATCAGCCTACCTCTAACAGAGAAGACAGAAAATCCTGTTGCTGCTCTGGGTGAAGTGGGTAAAGATCCCTGAGTCTCACCCACCCAGCCTCTCTCTTGTCCTTCTGGCTGCCCTTGAGGCTCCTCAGAGGAGTCCCAGTGTGCTAGGAACACAGCAGGAAAGACGTGGCCCCCCAACCTGGTCTCCACCAGACTGAGTCTAAGTAGTATTTGATGCCCCTGTGAAGAAGACTGGCTGGTCGTGTCCTGAAGGGTCCTGAAGTAAGCTGGTCTGGTGATTCCACCTCCAAAGAAAACCAGTGAGACTTTGAGACTAGTCACAGTATATGGTAGCCTGGTCAGATGGTGAAGGGGAGGTCCTTGTAAGGGACAGCTAAGCCCTGAGCTGAGGGTGAGAGGAGAAAAAAGACAAGTGCTTCTGTAGATACTCCTTATAAGGCTTTTGCTTGTTTTTTTGTTTGTTTATTCATTTTGTTTTGTTTTGGAGACAGAGTCTCACTCCGTTGCCCAGGCTGGAGTGGAGTGGTGCGATCTCAGCTCACTGCAGCCTTTGCCTCCTGGGTTTAAGTGATACTCCTGCCTCAGCCTCCCGAATAGCTGGAATTACAGGCACGCACCACCACGTCCAGCTAATTTTTGTACTTTTAATAGAGACAGGGTTTTGCCATGTTGGCCAGGCTGGTCTTGAACTCCTGGCCTCAAGTGATCCACCCACCTCGGCCTCCCAAAGTGCTGGGATTACAGATGTGAGCCACTGCACCCTTGTTTGTTTCTTTTTGAGACAGGGTCTCATTCTGTTGCCTGAGCTGGAATGCAGTGGGACAATCACCACTCACTGCAGTCTCAACCTCCTGGGCTCACGTGATCCTCCCACCTCAGCCTCCCAGTAGCTGAGACTACAGGCGCTTGCCATGGTTTTTTGTTTTTGTTTTTCAGAGATGAGGTTTGGCTATGTTGCCAGGCCGGTCTCAAACTCCTGGCCTCAAGCGATCCTCCAACTTGTCCTCCCAAAGTGCTGGGATTACACACATGAGCCACCACACCCTGGCCTGTGGCTTTGACTCTGCTGATTTACCTCCCTCTAGTGGCTGCTGGCTCTTGGCAGTAACACCTTTCATCATTACTGGGCCTCAAGTCCCGTGAATTTTCTGTCTCTGACCTCCTGTGTGACAAAGACATGACCTTAACTGCTGCAAATATATAATAATAAGTCACCTCCCATCTCATATCGTTAGAGAGGATTTTTAACTGATTTAGCAAACATCCCCAAAGACTGTTGGCAAGTTAGATTGATGAGAGCAGGGAGAAGGTCTCCAGTGGTCCCAGTCTGCATTTTAAACAGCTATTATGATGAAGGCATAGGAGGCATATTTGTCACGTTCATGAAGGATGCAAAGCCGAAAGGGAGGCTAGAAGCAGATAACTGATCTGTTGAACCCACCAAAAGATGTTAGTAGGAATTTGTGAAATTATCCTTAAGTTTAAAAATGACTGCACATTAAAAGGAACATGACTTAATTGCAATTTTTAAAAACTGTTTTACAAGTTTCAGTTGATGGATGTAAAAGATAACTTGAGTTCACTGTGTGGCATATCTACCCATATTGCAAGCTTATATGGCATCAGTAAAGCCCCAATGACCCAAACAAGGGTGGGGAAGGGCCCACTCTACTGTGTGTGAGTGAGTCAGTCCAAACCTGAAATATCTTGCTCCATCCTGAATACAAACTCCTAAAAAAAAAAAAAAAAAAAATCCTGATAAATTCAAGTTTTGACCTGGAGGAAAGTAGCTAGAATAGTAAGAGAACATGAGAAGACGTTCAAATAATGCTTGAAGGACTCAAAATAGCCAGGAAAAGATTTTATATATATATAAAATATATATATGGAAGAATATGATATATATATCATATATATGATATACATGGAAGAATATGATATATATCATATATATTATATACATGGAAGAATATGATATATATGAATATGATATATATGATTATGAATATGAATATGATATATGGATATGATATTAATATGAATATGATATATGGATATGATATGAATATGAATATGATATATGGAAGAATATGATATATATATGGAAGAATATGATAGCAATCTTCTTAAGGATTTTTGTATAAAAGCCCTGTTTCATACAATGTATTCATTGTTGACTTTATAATGTCAGAGCAGGAATATTAGATGCTTGTTACAGAAATTTATACTTTTCCCTAACATATGAAAGAAATTTTGAAGCACTAGAGTGATCCAAAAATGCAGTGAGTTGTGTCTATGTGCCCATGTGAGCTAATGAACTCCCTGTCACTGGAAGCACTCAGCAGTGGCTGGATGACAGGTATGACAGGTGATCCAGCATCAGGGATGTTGTAAAGGGAATTCTCAAGTTTAGGATGTGACTTATGATGCTTCCCAACACGAGATTCTATTTCTCTGTGATTCATTTATCTTAGCCTCTCATTCCTTTTCTGCTTTATCACCCTTCCCCCTGGTCTATTTCTCCTCCCTCTGATGCTCAGTTTGTGAGAAGAAAGTAGAAATGCAATCCAGTGTTTATAATACAGGGCCAGTGGGGACTGTGGTGTCATACAGATGTGGTGACCCCATCTGTAATATGGGGTCAGTGATGCTGAGCCCTCCTGTGTCTTGAGCCGCGATGAACTTCAGAGGCAAAGTAAACACCTTAAGTGCAGCACATTAAAACCGCACTTACCAAAGAAAACAAACAAGAACACTACAAGGAAGCCACTGTCATTACATCATTTTCTCTTGTGTTTTCTTTTCAGGGAAAGTCCTGGTCAGCAGCGAAATGGGCATCAGCCGGTCAGCAGTTCTAGTGGTCGCCTACCTGATGATCTTCCACAATATGGCCATCCTGGAGGCGTTGATGACTGTGCGTAAGAAGCGGGCCATCTACCCCAACGACGGCTTCCTGAAGCAGCTGCGGGAGCTCAACGAGAAGCTGATGGAGGAGAGAGAAGAGGACTACGGCAGGGAGGGGGAAGCAGCTGAGGCTGAGGAGGGCGAGGGCATGGGGAGCACGCTCGGGGCCAGAGTGCACGCCCTGACGGTGGAGGAGGAGGACGACAGCGCCAGCCACCTGAGTGGCTCCTCCCTGGGGAAGGCCAGCCAGGCCTCCAAGCCCCTCACCCTCATTGACAACGAGGAGGAGGAGAAACTGTACGAGGAGTGGAAGAAGGGGCAGGGCCTCCCCTCGGGCAAGGTCCCCCAGGGTGGAGGTGGCCGGCGCTCAGCCTCCTCTGGCCAGGGTGGGGAGCAGCTCGAGGACGAGGACGAGGACGAGGACGTGGAGAGAATCATCCAGGAGTGGCAGAGCCGAAACGAGAGGTACCAAGCAGAAGGGCACCGGAGGTGGGGAAGGGAGGAGGAAGAGGAGGAGGAGAGCGACGCTGGCTCCTCCGTAGGGAGGCGGCGGCGCACCCTGAGCGAGAGCAGTGCCTGGGAGAGCGTGAGCAGCCACGACATCTGGGTCCTGAAGCAGCAGCTGGAGCTGAACCGGCCAGACCACAGCGGGAGGCGCCGCTCAGACTCGATGTCCTCGGATAGCACCTGGGACGCGTGGAACGAGAGGCTGCTGGAGATTGAGAAGGAGGCTTCCCGGAGGTACCATGCTAAGAGCAAGAGAGAGGAGGCGGCAGACAGGAGCTCAGAGGCAGGGAGCAGGGTGCGGGAGGATGACGAGGAGAGCTTGGGCTCTGAGGCCAGCTCCTTCTACAATTTCTGCAGCAGGAACAAGGACAAGCTCACTGCCCTGGAAAGATGGAAGATCAAGAGAATCCAGTTTGGATTTCACAAGAAAGACTTGGAAGCAGGAGACAGCAGCAGTGAGCCGGGTGCAGAGGAGGCAGTGGGGGAGAAGAAGAACCCCTCCGACATCAGCCTGACAGCCTACCAGGCCTGGAAGCTGAAACACCAGAAGAAGGTGGGCAGTGAGAACAGGGAGGAGGTGGTGGAGCTCAGCAAGGGGGAGGACTCGGCCTTGGCTAAGAAGAGGCAACGGAGGCTGGAGCTGCTGGAGAGAAGCCGGCAGACGCTGGAGGAGAGCCAGTCTATGGCAAGCTGGGAGGCGGACAGCTCCACGGCCAGCAGGAGCATTCCCCTGTCTGCGTTCTGGTCTGCAGCCCCCTCAGTCAGTGCTGATGGGGACACGGCATCAGTACTGAGCACCCAGAGCCACCGCTCCCACCTGTCTCAGGCTGCAAGCAACATAGCGGGGTGTTCAACCTCCAATCCCATCACACCCCTGCCTAACCTGCCAGTGGGGCCTGGAGACACCATTTCCATTGCCAGTATCCAGAACTGGATTGCCAATGTAGTCAGCGAGACCCTTGCTCAGAAGCAAAATGAAATGCTGCTGTTGTCCCGCTCCCCGTCTGTTGCAAGCATGAAGGCAGTACCAGCGGCCAGTTGCCTGGGGGATGACCAAGTCTCCATGCTCAGTGGACAGAGCAGCTCCTCCTTGGGTGGCTGCCTGTTGCCTCAGAGCCAGGCAAGACTCAGCTCTGACATGCAGTCTGTGCTGTCCTGCAACACCACACTGAGCTCGCCCCCTGAAAGTTCCAGGAGCAAAGTGAGGGGGACCAGCAAGCCCATCTACAGCCTCTTTGCTGACAATGTGGACCTAAAGGAACTTGGCCGGAAGGAAAAGGAGATGCAGATGGAGCTTAGGGAGAAGATGTCTGAGTACAAAATGGAAAAGCTGGCCTCAGACAACAAACGCAGCTCCCTCTTCAAGAAGAAGAAGGTCAAGGAAGATGAGGATGATGGTGTGGGTGATGGGGATGAGGACACTGACAGCGCCATAGGGAGCTTCCGGTATTCTTCCCGCAGTAGTTCCCAGAAACCTGAAACAGACACATCCTCCTCCCTGGCTGTCTGTGATCACTACGCAAGTGGCAGCAGAGTTGGCAAAGAGATGGATAGCAGTATTAATAAGTGGCTCAGTGGCCTCAGGACAGAGGAAAAACCTCCTTTCCAAAGTGACTGGTCTGGAAGTTCCAGGGGGAAGTACACCAGATCATCCCTGCTCAGGGAGACAGAGTCTAAATCCTCCAGTTACAAGTTTTCCAAATCCCAGTCAGAGGAACAGGACACCTCCTCCTACCACGAGGCAAATGGCAACTCTATAAGAAGCACTTCACGGTTCTCGTCTTCCTCCACCAGGGAGGGCAGAGAGATGCACAAGTTCTCCAGGTCCACGTACAGCGAGACCTCAAGTTCCCGAGAGGAGGGCAGCCCAGAGCCCTACTTCTTTCGCCGGACCCCAGAGCCCTCAGAAAGGGAAGAGTCCCCAGAGTCACAGCAACCAAATTGGGCCAGGTCCAGAGACTGGGAAGATGTGGAAGAGTCATCCAAGTCAGACTTCTCTGAATTTGGAGCCAAGAGGAAATTCACCCAGAGCTTTATGAGGTCTGAAGAAGAGGGAGAGAAAGAGAGGACGGAAAACAGAGAAGAAGGGAGGTTTGCATCTGGACGGCAGTCCCAGTATCGAAGAAGCACTGACAGAGAGGAAGAGGAAGAAATGGACGATGAAGCCATCATTGCTGCTTGGAGACGTCGGCAAGAAGAAACCAGGACCAAGCTGCAGAGAAGGAGGGAGGACTGAGCTGGGGAAAAGCTGAGAACACTGAAATAAACCACTCACCTTAGTATAGGGCTCAGGGCACACATTGCCACCACCCATCAGGGGATGAGGATACAGAGAGGATCTTCCAGAGGGGCAGAGCCAGAATGAGAGGTACCAAGCATAAGGGCAGCAAAGGTGGAGTAGGGAGGAGGCAAGGACGGGGAGAACCATCAATATGAGGTCCGAATGCTGGACCAACTGACACCATTTTCTGTTGCCCAGCACCCTCTAAGCTTTGGTGTTTCACTTAGTGTATTTGATAGTGTTCATCACAGACTAGAGAGGTGAGCTTGGAAAAGCACTGTAGTTTGTCAGAGACTCCAGTTTACATCCAGAAAGGCCATGAACATAGGACACGCTTCTGTCTGTAGAGGTTTCACATGAAACCCAGAAAGTCTATCCTATGGCAAGTCTGACCTCTCCTGGCAATGCTCAGTTCTGATTTTTTTTTTTTTTTAATGTTTTGAGTCTCCAATAAAAATGGTATATTGGCAAATAGTTCTTTATTCTGGTCATATTTAGCTCTTTGTATATTAGAAGAAAACCACTTTAAAAGACACAAATGTGTTATCCTGAGCCAGTCTCACCTTGTTTCACAAAAGCTGGGCCTCCAGACAATGCCATCATCATCTCATTATAAAAAATAACAAACAATTATTTAGCCTATGGTACAATACAGTAGGAGACTACACTAGGAAAACCCTTGAGAGTAACAGAGGGAACTAGAGAAAGAGAGAATTAGTTTTATTGTGGCGAGAATAGCAAGATGTAAAGTAGAGAGAAGGCCTCTCTGGAAGGCAGAAAAACAAAAACAGCATGGGGAGAGAAGAAAATAAACCCAGTACAAGGAAATTAAGACATGTTTTTATAAAATCTAGTAATCACCTTTGCTTCTTATTCCTAGGAGGATCACTGGGTAATGCAGTGGATAGTACACTTGATTCTTCCCTGTGCTCTCAGTGGGCTAAATTGGTGAGAATCTTTTACCTTTTGTTCCCAAGGCATGTCTTTCCCTAAAACACAGGTTGAGTTGCCAAATCAGGGAGACACTTTGAACACTTTACAACAGTGATTGATGGACTGGTTTCTACAGTTCTTTTCAAGCTGCGGCACCTTGAAGGATTTGAAAACAACTGTGTGCTATGCAGGGGTCTGAGATGTCTTGATCAATCAAAAAATCCAATTCAGGAGACACAAATGGTGATGAAATGATTAAAGAGAGGGAAGAAGAGTAAGGAGTAATCCACCAATGAGATAAATAGTAAGTGTTAATTATGTGATCACTTTTTCTAAAAATGGAGTTTCATGGGTCATGGAGATTACGTAACCTTCCTATGTAGATTAGTTCAGCATCACATATTTCAAAGAGCACAAAGATAAATATATCAAGGCAAACAGAAGCTGACTTGAACACAAACTCACAATGCCACATAACTGCTGTTAAAGCAACTGAATTAATTTGTTTGCCTTCCCTCTATCACTTTAGCCCACTGTTCAGTTGCTAGTGGTACTTCTCTCTCCTTCACTGACTGAGGACTTGAGAAAAAAAATACTGCTCAGTCTTTGCCCATTTGCCCCTTTTTCTTCTTTTGTTTGTCTTTATTCAGTCTCAGCCCCTAGTTTCCAGTGCTGGACGGGTCATTCCCACCACAGAAAATGGTGTTATTAACCTGGCGTGGTGCTGCGTGCCTATGGTCCCAGTTACTTGGGAGACTGAGATAGGAGGATCACTTGAGCCCAGGAGTTTGAGTCCAGCCCGGGCAATGTAGCAGAACCTTCATCTCTTTTTTAAAAAGCATTATTCTAATACACCCCACAGCAAGAAGGCTGTTGTGGTCCATTTTACTTTCTGGGAGAGCTCTCATTTCACTCTTATAGAGAAGTTGCTGATATAGGCACAATTAACTGGGCATCTACTCTAGAAGTTTGACCTTCTGGAGAGAAGAATGGGAATATTCTTTGATGGGTCCCTTGTGCCCACCTATAAGGAGCCAATTAGCTCAGATCCCTACACATGTCTTTTTTTTTTTTTGTAAGTAACAAAATATATAAATTGATCTCATGTCAAAGTAGACAAGAATTTTTTTTTTAAAAAAACTATTCTTAGTAAATCTCAACTCATATCCCACTGAATAAATGTTGAACAAACATTTCAAGCATATTGGCTTGAAGAGTCACCCCAGTTTTTCTCCAGCCCTGGATGTGAGTCTGGGGGAAACAGACCATGGAGACTGCCTAGTTTGCTTTTAGTTGAGCTCTTAGGCTAGAGGGTCAATAATGACCCCTGTGGCCTGCATGTAGACCAGTTTGGCTCACCAGAGGAAACCAGATGTCTCAGAGTGAAGCTTTCAAGAAATGCCTTTGCTTTCTGTGTCTCCAAAGATAGCTGCCTCGAGATCCTGTACTCAGGGAGGTGTCTGCCAAAGAATTCAGAATTCCGAATTTAACTTATTGCTGGAGTTTAGGGTATATTTTGGGAAACCACATCAATAGAAAATGTATTGGATTTATCATGAACTTGAAGAAATATCTGGGCTTTGAAGTGTTAGAATCCCAAGGGTGACTTCTGAATTCTACCTAACCTAGGGTGTTAGGTTGCAAGCCAGTCTTCCAGCCTCCGAATGACAATTAAAGATATCTCAGTAAAAGTCCCCACAGGAAACAGATGGCACACCCAAAGTGGTGCCTGATAAGAATTTAATGCAGGGACCATTTACAGAGGCATAGGAAGGAACGAGGGAGCCAAAAAGAAATAGTAAAGCACCCAGGTACTAGCAACACTGATACCACCCTAGCACTGAAGGGACAAAGGGGCAAAGCTGTTTCCAGAGCCCAGCATCATGGAGAGCCATCACCATGGAGAAAGCCACCTGACAACCTGGCAGAGGGGTAGGGGGAATAAATACGCCAGCCCTTCTCTGCTCCTGGTTTTCTGTTCAATGCTAGTAACTTCCATGGACTAAACCTAACTGGAAGCAAGTGGGTAGACAGCATAGCAGTCTGGAGAAGGACAATAAGTAGATCTGGAGGCAAACACAAAACTACCAGCACAGAGGTCAATATGTTTAAATGGAGAGGCCATCTCTGTAGGAGTTTTTCCATTGATGTCTGTCTTAAATGACCAGAAACACTATACAATGAACCCAAAATCGACTCTCTGTTAAGAATTCATCAACAGGCCGGTTGCAGGAGCTCACACCTGTAATCCCAGCACTTTGAGAGGCCAAGGCGGGCAGATCACCTGAGGTCGGGAGTTTGAGACCAGCCTGACCAACATGGAGAAATCCTGTCTCTACTGAAAATACAAAATTAGTTGGGCGTGGTGGCATATCCCTGTAATCCCAGCTACTCGGTGAGGCAAGAGAATCACGAACCCAGGAGGCAGAGGTTGCAGTGAGCCGAGATCATGCCATTGCACTCCAGCCTGGGCAACAAGAGTGAAACTTCGTCTCAAAAAAAAAAAAAAAAATCATTAACAATTCAAGCAGAGTTTCAGCTACATAAAACCAACTATCAGAGTCAATGATTTTGTTTTACAGAAAATAAAAAGAGGAACTGATCTGAATTACTCGAGCCCACTCCCGAGTCTCATAAACAGTTCACTAGGAGAAAGCTCCCACATTATTCAGCACAGAGAATCGTGCACTGAAAGGGGCCCTACAAGATGAAAATCCTGCTCAGACTCCTGAGGTGAGGGCTGGGTAAAAGAGAGGCAGAGAGAAGGAAAACAGATTTTTTTCTTCATCCAAAGGTAAGGCCCTGGAGGAAATGAGATCTGTGGGGGCTGTGAAGAAATAAGAAATAAAGTGTATCAGGCAGCATCCCAGCAGGAAACAGAAGGCATGGCCAAATTAGGGTGATTCAAACGGGTCGTTTTCTAAAGAAGCTATTCACAAAGGAGTGGACATGGTACAGGGTACAGGAAAACACCAGGCACAGTTCACAGTCCAAAGCCAGGGGCCTCTCCTAGGCCTGGAGAGACAAGGGAGGAGCTGTTACTGGGCCCCTAGAGACACCGAGGGCTACGTGGAGGGGCTGTCTTAAGATCTAAGACCTTGGGTCTAGAGAGCCAGCCTGATGTGACCCCACAGGAAAGGAAGCAGAGGACTTTAGCCCCTCTTACTCCGACCTCCATCAACCTCCCCACAGGCCAAACCCAACCAAAACCCATAGGGAAGAGAGTTGGTGTGTGCAGTCCATTCTGTCAGCCCCATGGGACCCCAGGGAGAGTGGGGAGAAGGGTGGATGTATCCAAAAGGGCAAACAGAAGATATACAACAAGGGCAAAATTTCAGGCTGGTGACATATTGTTGGTGCTGTGTTATGAAGACCCTGCTTTTAGTGTCTTGAATATTGCCAGAAGAGGAAATATTGGTTTTTCTGGACTTTTAAAACTTATTTCTTGTGTTGTTTGGGAGAATTATCAACCAATGACAGTTGAATAACTAGTAACCTGCCTTAAAGCATGCTACATAGAATTGCCCTTGTGTGAAGAATCTGGAATAAAAATCTACACTGTTCTTAGGCACACTACTCTTCGGAGTTCTGAGTCAAGCCTCGTGCTTTAAAGCATCACCTATTTTGTGAACCCTGCAACAAGTCTTCCCTCAGCTCCACTTGCTCTGCAAGATGCCTGCCATCTGTCCCAGGTGCCACACAGAAACCACCTGCCCGCCACCCTCCCACACATATGCACGCATGAGTGAATTTCATGTAAAACCTGTATATTAAGTCACACTGTCCCCAAAATACCTGCCAGATGTAGTGTAAGCCCATCCAGCCATTTTGCCTCATAGAGGTAATTAACAATATTCTATAATTTTAATCTCATAGGTTCCAAACAGTTCAGCAGTCATTTTCAGACACTGTGATCCTTGCAGTGTCTGTAAGCAAGCTGTGCATATAGATCAGCCAATGCAATAGCCAGGCCACACCACTGCCCGCCATTCAGTCCCCTGGATCCTGAGTGGAAGTCCCTCAGAGCAGGGAGCAGACCCACTTGGATTAGCTTCACTGTCTCTAGGCTCCTGAAGGCAGAAGTTGGATTCACCTTTGGTGGCAACCAAGACAGTGGCCTCAAACCAATCATTCGATTCCATTTAGCTCAGCTTGATAAACATTTCTCGAATGCCAACCTTGCACTAGCACTGCACCAGGGTACTGTGCTATCAAGAGCACATGCTACATGAAGTCATGGAAGGCAGAGACAATCTCAAGTTAGAGAAAGGCCCAGTCCCTCATGAGAAATAATTTTTGAAATATTGTCTGAGTTAAAGAACCCTCAAGCTATCTGGGTCTGAACTTACTAGTGTGCCAAGTACATCAGAAGAGCATCAACCACTCACGCTTGAAACCTCACAGTCGGGTTTGACACCTTCCTTTGCCTCTTGCCTGTACCTGGGCCAGGTAATTCTGCTCATTGCATTTGCTATCTCCATTCTGTTATCACTACCACCTCCCCAAACCAGGACTCAGAGTGAAGCCCTCAAGAAATGCCTTTGCTTTCTGTGTCTCCAAAGATAGCTGCCTCGAAGCTCTTGGTGTAGCGCCTGGCACATGGTAAACATTTAATATAAGTGTTGGTTGTTTTTCAATTGGATTACAAAGTTGTGTTCTCAACTACTTTACCACATTGTGTCCAAACTAACTGACAAATATTATAGACTTGTATATAACAATGTGCAGTTACTGAATTCTACTTAATGCTATGAACTGTCTAGGCACATTAAAATCATGTCCTGTTTAATTATAATCCCACAATAATCCTGAGGGGTAGATATTCTTATCCTTCTGCCCTAAATTTCTACAATAAGAAGCAGACTGTGGCAAGCATGGATAGACACAAACAAATTGCTGTGCGATTTCAAAGGAGGGAGAGACTCATGTGGCCAAGGTGGCCGGAAGAAGTTTAACAGAGGAGAAGCTCCTAGAAGAACCTTGGAGGGTGAGGGGATCTCAGCAGGGAGGAAGTAGGTTGGGGTGGGAAAGCTGAGCCAGGGGGAAAAGCCAGGTTCCAAATGTTGTGCGGTTCACACATGGCCAGAAGGTGAGGTGCACGAAGGGAGTAATACAGTAGGGCTGGAAAGGGTGGGGAAAGTGGTCCTTGAATGCCAAGTGAAAGAATTTAAGATTCATTTCATAGGTAATAGGAAACCATTAAAGACTTTTTAGGCAGAGGAAAAAAGAACCAGAATTGGGAACTTGGGAAATTAATTTGGTCCTAGAGTAGATGCAAAGGAGATGAGGCTGGAACTAGCTAACAAGGTTACTGCGTAGCCAGGTGGTGTATTAAGGAGACCTCGTTTCCCATGTAGCCCTCTGCGTCTTTACTATATTTTTTTGGCTCCCTTGACCCTTCCTATGCCTCTGTAAATGATCCTTGCATTAAATTCTTATCAGTCGCCACTTTGGGTGTGCTGTTTCCTGTTAAGCAGGAAAAAAAAAATCCTCTTTAAGCATAAATGCCTTTTTAAGCATAAGATGTGCTAAACGCTGGGCTGGGCTCTGGGCATTCAGCAGAAATAAAAACAAATCAAACTTGCCCTTAAGGAGCTAACACTTTTATTAAGGGAGATGGGCAGTAAACAAGTAATTTAGAATATTTGGAATATTATTTGTTTTTGGCCTGCCTACTTCTCTGCCTCTCCCTACTAGAATGTAAGCTCCATGGGGGGAGTTGGTATTCATTGTTGTATCCCCTGCAACTAGAAACCAGGCCTGGTCTAAGCAGGACTTCGCGCAAACATTTGTTTTTGTTCAAGACAATAAGTGCTGAGAGGAAATTCTCGGATTAATCTGATAGATAACAATGACAGATGGGGTGTGGCATTATTTAAGACAGGGCAATCAGGGAGATCTCCAGGAGGAGGTAATATTTAAGCTAAAACCTGGAGAAGGAGAAGGAGCCAGCCAAGCAAGGACCCAGAGCCAACACTGGGAAACTGACAAGGACACTGAGGTTTAGGGAGGAGAAATCACAAATTAGCCAAGGCCATATGGCTACTCCATGTGGAAGCCAAAATTCAAATTGAGAGTCTGATTTCAGTGCCCATACACCTTACAGGGTAGGTAGCATCTGTAAAGTGCTTAGGACAATGCCTGGCACATAATAATTGCCAAGGAAGTTATCTTTTATATCCTCTACTGCATTTTAAGTTTTAAAATTATTCTTATTTTGAAAGCATGGAAGTATTGATTAGCTAATTAATCCAGCATGGGTCATATTTAGGACCCAAAGATGCCAGTTCGTTTCTGTCTAGTTTCAGAGTAGTCTTTTTCCTTTTTAAAAAATTTCTCATGAGTGAGCAAGATGGTTAGGGTGTGTGATGAGATAGAGAATGTCACAGGATACTGGAGGTTGGAGGGAATTCCAGGCATCTTTGGGAGGTGCAAGAGTTTAGCCAGCTGCTTGGAAGAACAGCCCCTACTACAACTACACTGACTGCTGGGCCAGAGTTACTGAAAGCATCTCTCTCCAAGCCACAGGGATGCTGCGAGTGCGTTAGTACAGCCAGCGTTGACAAATGTCCATGCTCTCAAAGGCAGAGAAGAGGCTGGGGTGGGGCAGAAGGGAGGGGAAAAATAAAGCAGCTCCAAAGACCACGATGGTAATAATTGGTCCTAGCCCTTGCTCTGTGCCATGCCAGCTACAACCAGCCTGCTGTGACCTCATTCACACAAAATGGCTAAGAGCTGTTCTGGGGGAACCAGACATTCCTCAAAGGAACACAGAGTAACTAAAACCCCTGTGGCAAGCAAAAGGGCAGACAGCAGGCATGACTCACTGCCTTTGCAGGACATTGAGAACATGTGGCTTAAATGGATCTTTCTCTTATTAACGTTTCTCAAACAAGAATGCAATGCAAACAAGCCCTTAAATGGGAAGACAAGGCAAGTGATTTCCTGCTCCCAGCCCTGGTGGCCCCTGAGAGGGGCAGAGCAAAAAAGACCCCAGAATTGGACCACTTTTCTTTTTGGAATTCCATTTGGAAAGTTGATTGACCACCTCTCAGCCAGGTTCCATTCAACTCTGCTGAACAATACAGCAACTCTGCAAAGCAGATATTAATACCACCTTGTTAGAGATGGGAATACTCAGAGGGGTGCTATGGCTTGAATGTTTGTGTCCCCCCAGAATTCATATGCTAAAACCTAATCCCTAATGCCGTACTAAGAGGTGGGGTCTTTAGGAGAAAATTAGGTCCTGAGGGCTCCATCTTCATGAATGGATTAGTGTCCCTACGAAAGAGGCCCCAAGGATCTTGCTTTCTCTTTCTGCCATGTGAGGACACAGCAAGAAGGCACTATCTAAAAAGCGAGAGCAAGTCTTTACCAGACACTAAATCTACTAGTGCCTTGATCTTGGACTTCCCAGCCTCTAGAACTGTGAGCAATACATTTCTATTGTTTATAAATTACACAGTCTATGGTAGTTTGTTATGTAGCATGAATAGACTAAGACAAGGGGTTAATATAATATGCCCAGAATCGCATAATAAGTAGGCAAGCAAGGATTTGAACCTAGCTATATCTGATTTTAAAGCCACTTTTTCTACCACACCATTTTGCCTTAAAAAGATCTATGCCCAGGGAGAGATTAAAACTACAGTTGCAGAGAAATCTGGAATCAGAGTACAGGGCAACTGATGGATTGGCCATTCAGAAGATACAGTCTCTGAACAAAGCCTGTGCTCCAGTTGGCCTTCCTCCATCGTCCGTGTTAGCCGTCTCACTAATAAACAGTCCTGTGCAAAAGAGTGTCAGGAAGATGACAAGCAGGGAGCCCCCAGGGACTGCTCTTAAATAGGAGCTTTACTTAAAGGACAGGATGTTCAAAGAGGTTAAGATTTCTGTGCGCTCTCTCTTCCTGACTCCCAGGAGAGAAGCTTTCATTCCAGGGAGTCACAATATTTGCGCGTCTTTCAGACAGCGTTCTCTTTTTAAAGCTGCACAGTGCAGGTAGTTATGTAGCTCTCGATTTATTACAAAGGCTGCTGGTGTGGGGAGCAGGGAGGGGAATGGCAAAGAGCTGGAGGAGGGGAGTTTCAGCAGCTTTTTCTGGGTCGAGGCAGGATCTGTTCCCAGATCTGTTTTGGTGTGTGTGTGAGAGAGACATTAGGCAAATTACTTATCCCAACAGTGTCTCTCAAACAGAAGCAAAATTGCTGCCTGTTAGATAGCAATGGGGTCAGGATGAAAGAGGACTTCAGACAAGGACAAAATTTAGACAGTTCGGTCTAAAAGTATACCTATCAATTATTGTTATTAATATATTTCAATAGGTATCTTCTAATACCTATTATTAATATATATTTTAATAGGTATTTTCCAATAGGTATTAGAAAATTTTAATAGGTATTAAGAAATACCTATTAAAATATATTAAAGACAATAATTTGAGACCTGCCATAAAATATCTCCCTCATCAGCTTCATTTTTACTCTTTCATTCGACAAGCATTTACGGGGTACTTACCATGGGACAAGAATTGTTCTGGGTGATGGAAATGCAATATCTTCCTCTGAAGAGTTCCA